CCCCAAAACCCCAAAACCCCAAAACCCCAAAACCCCAAAACCCCTTTTTCATGCTAAAATACTGAAAAACTTCCCTTAAATGTTCGAATATTAATAATTCACCTAAAATAGCAGATCAGCTAATAAATTTTCAGAGAACATTACCAGTAACTAAAATAATCAACAAAATGAGCCTATGGAGGTACTCCTTATAACTTTTCCAACCATCTTCATCTAGAAACCAGTCAGGAAGCTATCTGGCTAATCTCTAAATATGTTTGGTACTACTGCCATTAGCCAGGCGAAGGTAAAACCTCAAGGTGTTTAACATGCTATTGCAGAATCTTGAGGTATTTGATCATGGTCTAATGCAACTGTAACCGATGGATTAGAAAGCTAAGTTTCTAGACACATTTTACTATTTGAAAGTTCTAATTATCAAAGCCAAACATTTACAGATAAATTCAAAAGGAAGAACTTCTCTACGAAATTGCTAGTAAAATGTTTAGAACAGAGAGCATTTAATGTCATCATAGTCAATTGATGATGCTGTCTGGGTCTTGATGAAGTTAATGGCTTTTCTAATGACCAACTTCCACTCCTTTTCCTTATCTGGGAATAGAGTCTTTATTCTGTTAATGCCGATCCATGTTAGCATTATCATTACAACCAATTGTTTATCTCCAAGACTCTTAATATTTTCAGGAGTTGCATCATAAACTTGGTCTTTAGTGAGCCCAACAAGGCCAAGTATTTTATTGTTCCAAGATCCGTTTACATTCTGAAGTGCAATAAATTCTTTGTATGTATTTGTAACAGGGACTTGAGCTGAATCTCCCTGGAAATTTGTGTCAATAGGTGATTCTTCATTGCCCCCACCTCCTCTGAGTCTGAGAACGAGATGTAGAGTTTGCCCATCGTATATTTCATATTCACCAAGTGTTCTTTCATCTTCTAGTTGCATACCAGCATAGATAAGTCTTTGCTGATCTGGAGGAATTCCTTCTACGTCTTGGATTGAATCTTTTAGTACAGAAATCGTATCAGCAGTGTTGATGTCTATCGAGAGATTTTTTCCTGTCAAAGTTTTCACTTTAATGTTAATGTTTCCTATAATAAACCCTTAGTTTCAAAATTGGTAATTATATAATCAGTATGACTAAACGCAGGAGAAACACCAAGAAAATCTAGCGGCTAACTGCATGGTTCAATATTTTCAACAGTATTTGATATTATTAAAAGCAGTCTGGCTACTACCAAAAAGTATTTAATTTTAGAGATAAGGATCCATCCAAGAAATGATTATAGTTTTATGTAACCTTGATGTATGTAAGAAGATGTATACTCTATCGATAAGATAAATATTATTTAGAAACAATTCAGAAACTCTCCTACCTCCTTTGATCTCTTTTTCAATCTTAGCGTACTCTGTGTCAGGTTCGACCGCTAATTTCTTCATTGCTATAGATTCATGTCAGAACGTAAAGACAACATTACCCACAAACCCATATTTATCAATCTTACCAATAAGAGCAGTATGGTTGCTTGGGATCTGGTATTCTATAGCCAACGCCACAATTCCTTCCTTATCCTCTCTTTTATCTTCCATATCCTTAATTTTCCTTTTGGCATACATCTTAAAAATAGAGTCTCCCTCAATAAGTCTCACATCCTTCTGCATATCGAAGGAATATTCCTTAGCCTCTCCAGTGGGCAGGGTCATGTCCAGGTTAAAGCTTCCCTCTAAATCTCCGTCGCCTGAATCAAGGATGCAGAAGTATGTGAAGTATCTTCCATTGTACATATTCGAAGGCACAGATTCCAGGCTAGGGAGCTCATCTCTTTTAGAGTAGTTTGTTGACAGTTCCTTCTTTGAGATTTTGACTTTGGTCTGGAAGCATTTTGAGAGACTGTCTATCACTGTTTTCTCGAGGTCTTCAGCGAAGTTATGGACAAAGTAGTACATTCCATTTCCAGCAATGGCACAATCGATGATAAGTTGTGTGCTGACGTATCTACCAACTCCTATTGTATGGAAATTAAACTCGTTAGAGTTTAGTCTGATCTCCTCAACACATGCTTGTGAGTTGTAGACTGCTCCATCAGTAAGCAAGAATACATGTCTTGGTAGATCTGTGTCAGATTTATGTGCAAATATATGCTTGATTGGTCTCAAAATCTCAGTTCCTCCCATGTTGGCTTTGAATTTACTGATCCCAGAAATAGCAGATTCCATGTTCTCTTGTGTGTAAGGTACTGATTGTTCAAACATTAGCTTAAAGTCACTTCCATACGATATAACATTGAACATTGACTCTGGTGGGAGACTATGAAGGAACAAGGTCAATGCACTCTTAGCAGTTTCGATTGGTCGTCCTGACATCGAGCCACTTCTGTCTATCAAGAACAAGAATTCAGCTGCCTCATAGTCTTCATCGCATTCTATTTCTTTGTGATAGGTAACTTCTGGGTCGACGTCAACCCAATCACCTGAATCTTCTTTGATGACCACCCAGTCTTGGTCTGGATTCAAATCAACAAGCATAGAGGCCATGAGGGCATATTCGTCGTTTCTCTTTTGCATGAGAAGCATTGGTGTGTTGATGTCGTTGCTTCTGTACATGAGGATGAAGTCTTCATCAAAGAACGTGTCACAACCAGTTTCAGTTAGCTCAACAAAGGCTTTGGTAGGGTCATTATCATGAAATCCGACTTTTATATCATGATTCTTACTAATGACTCTATGGATTGGGCTCTGTGAGTTGATGTTCAAAGTTATCTTCCAGTTGAAGTTGGTTGAGCTGTAGTACGAAGATATGTGCTCAACAATAGCATCTAGTCTGTCTTCAGGGGTGTCCTTGTGCAGATTTTGTACCATTCCTTTGAAGTTCTTGCCAGTTTCAACATACTCTGAGAGATTTCCCATGTATCTTGGCATTATCTTAGATGGGATATGAAGTTTCCAACTACAATCATCTAAAAAGATTTGTCAATATTCTTGGTTATCGAAAATCAAAGATATGTCAAAGACACAATTTTGCGGTCGAATTGGTACTTACCAACATCCATGATTTGGTGGAATGTGCACACAACAATGATTTCACTTTTAGGTGGAAGATTCCCCATATCGATTCTACCGAAAAAGTTAGATAAAATTCTCCAAACAAAGATATTACTTTATCATATCTGTAGAATTCATAGCTGGTTGAGCCATAGCAACTGTTTTTCCTTGAGCCACTGCATCGTCGTATCTGATTTTAGCTCTCTTCTTTTCTTCAACAGAAGCCTTGATTATCTCATCTCCATATCTAATTTCCAAGTCTGTGAAAGTACATTCACTATGAACTGGGAACATGTATTGCACTTCAATTGGATCTACTCTCTTGTTGAAGTAGTACTGAATGAACTTGATCTCAGCAATGTTGTTGTGAATAGTAACCTCATTCTCTGCAAAATGCAAAGGAACAGCAGTTTGGTCGGATTTATTGACCAAAGCTTGATATTTGTAATCAAATGGAATTTCATCAGCCGGTAGAATAGTCTCCATGATATAAACCAAAGATGTTTAAATTTATACAATCTCCAATCTTATCTTTCTTATATGGGGTTTTGGGGTTTTGGGGTTTTGGGGTTTTGGGG